CCTAATCAGTAATTACTGGCATTTTTTACTGTCCATAATCATCAATATAAATATAATGAAAAAGAACCCTCACTAGTATATAACTGCTTAATTCGATCACATTATACTCATTAATGCAAACAGCCTATATTCATCATTTTTTAACAATAGTATTAATGATAATAATAAACTGCATTACTTACCCTATTAATATCTTGTAATAATTGAATATGCTCTTTATGCTCAGTATTAATGATTTCATTTTCAACACTTCTTAATACATTAATAAGATATTCGCAGTCTTCTTCTTTAGATTGAATCTTGAATAGCTTCTATTGCTAAGTAAATATTCTAGAAATAGTAATTTTTTCCAAAGAAGCAGTTTTTAAAAAATCATATAAAGGAACAAAAATTTCAGTTGAAACAATTGAGTTAGACATATTTTGTAATTAGTTTAAAGTATTAAAAAATGAGATCTTATTAGTATTTTATAATAACTCAAGAAGAGACAAAATCACTATAAAGCGAGGAAAGACTAAAATTCTGTATACTTACCCTTTTAAATCTACATTCACATCTTCTCTAAGCCTGAGCTTATGTTGGGTTGAGTAGAAGAATATGCAAAGCACTTTACGCCCAAAATTTTATATTTAAGAGTAAGACATGTGAAATGTGCATTATAGATCTAAATATTGCAAAGGCGTTAGGCAATATGCATATACATATTTTTTTTCGCTTGACCGCTTAATATTAAAACCTGACAATATTATATAGACATTATTCTACTCAAAATATTATGTCCCTCTGGAGCAAATATACATATTAATAAATGCTATTTCGCTAAATCTTATTCTGCTAAATGTTGTAAGGAAAAAATTAAAAATATTTTGGAGGATCAATTTATGTGTGAAATTATTTTGTCGCATAAGCATAGTTTTACAGATGATTTATGGAGTATCATCTATTACATCATATATACTAACGAGGATCGAAAAACATGTTAATTTATGTCGCACATGCCTATATAGATTATTTTATTAAAACAATATTTAGGATCTAGGTCAAAGACTGATTCAGAAAGAAAATTCAGCAGGTAATACATTTCAGGCATAGCGTCTTCGACCAATTTTACTAGGCGATCATGCATGCAGATTATATAGCTATCATTTCGCAAAAAAATAAAGTATAAGCTATGTTTAACTAAATATAATTAAGATATATAATGCTTAAATTTAGTTGAAAGATATTGCGAAACGCCTTATTGGCTAATGGCTAAGTCTATTTTCTTTCTGCATTTTTTCACACAGAATTGAAATATGCTTCAGCAAGATTATCCAAACTAGTCCTGCTAGAAATATTAGGCATATTTGATCGATCATTCCAAAGATTTCTAGTCTCAGGTGCACTTACACTACGTTGCCTGGTAAGTGAAATACAAGCTGACTCAAAATTTGAAGTACTTGGCATAGTATTTTTTGCCATAATTGCTTTAGCCTGTACATAAGCTTTATAGAGAATTGTACGAGTATCATAATCATATGATATCAATGCTAATTTATCCTTTTCTGAGTGTGGAATAGATTGGGATAAAAGCTCCAGTTGGAGACGCTTCATTTCCATCTCTTCTTTTAATATGTATTGTTTGTATTACCAGATTTGAAATTCCCTTGTATCAATCGATTGAAGAATTTCTTTTCTTCTTGCATGTTCATTCAAAATAGTATTTCTAGAAATACATCTCTTCAAGTGGTTATCTTGAATGCGATAAGAATGTCTTGTATACTCTTCAGGTATAAATACCAGGGAATCGCATACATTACAATATATATAATTTGATAGATAACCATGGACTTTATTATCACTTTCATATAACTTTTCATACATTGTAATAAATCCATTTTTAGAAAGGATTCTTGGGTTCTCTTCTAATATTTTCCTAAATGGATCACGAATACGAGAGCACCACATTTCTGGTGTTTCGTGATTATATCTTCTTGTTAAAGGGCCTAATGCATCAACTATTCTTTTATATACTTCAAAGTTTACATCACTATAGTTTACTCCAACTAGCTTAGAATAGGTTCTACTATCTAAATCCATATTTAGAATTATATAACAAATAAGCAGTTTATAACGATTTTAACGATTAAGAGATTTATAACAACTTCACTAATTTATAGCAATTTCAATGATTTATAGCAATTACAGCAGTTTGCAATAAGTATATAATAATAAAATATTAAATTCATTTTTATTTGAGACTGGCTATGCATATATTCACATGTATCCATTTTTTTCTGACGTCATGGATCAGCTAAATTAGATAAAATGGCTAAATTATTTTCAGATTAGCCAGATGCATCGCATATCGTATACACAAAAATTTGTATCACAGGTATCACCCTAGCTCCCCAGCACTTTCCTAGCACTATCACGACGCTGAGTTGCTTCTCAAAATCACGATCGGAAGAAGATGATCGGCTAGATTACAAAACAAATTAATGACACTTGTATAATAAAGAATAAATTACAAGTCTCCAAAGCTTTGCTGGATGTACCGTTAGCACAGTTTTATTTATTCAAGGAGAGATCACAAGACGGAAACTTAATACATGATGTAGTGCAGTACAAAATAGAGGCTGTGACCTCAAGGTCATGCACTACCAAAATGGGATCACGTAATATAACAAGCTAACGAAGTTAACGAAGTTAACGGCTAACTTCTTTTACTACATAATCGATTTTATTCCAACCTAATTTAGCAATAGTCAAAGCTGAGAATGATCTTATTCATTGTATCTTATCAGATCTGATGTGACGGAAAAGATCATAAATTTTTCAAGCTCTTTCTATTTTCTTACGAAGTGTAAGTTTAGTTACCTCCTTTAGAAGTTCTTCCTGACTTCATCATTGACCAGTCTCTGGGCCTCGTACTCCTCTTTAGTTTTTTGTGAAAATTAAGACGTCGGGATAAAGCCTTTCCAAAGAAATAATAGCTACAAACAAGTTTCTGATTTGAATTTTCATGTTTATTTTCAGCGTTGGTGATTTTGCAATACAAAGATAAAAAAATGCAGATGTCAGTATCCCCTTCCTGTGTTAGCTTAAAGAGGCTTTCCTTTTCTCTAACTTCTGAAACCTTAGATGTACCAATGCTCAACTTTCGTATAAGTTTTTTCAAGACAGGAGAGTCCTCAAGCTTAGTCTGCTTCGCTTTCTTGCTGGAGGGTTTATCCGCAGATGTATTAGCCCGCTTTTATTCTTACTGTTAGAGGAGCTTTGAATCTCGGGCTGAGTTTTTACTTCCTCATCACCATCATCATCCCTATCCTCATCTTCATCCATATTCACATCCTTATCCACATTCACATTCACATCATCATCCACATTCGCGTCTATTTCTTCAGTTGATAGACAGATAGGACATAGTTTGCGTGGATTATCGATGTAATTGTAATGCATGATATGCTTGCAAGTTAAGTATACTAGAGGTTTCGGGAAAGCTTAAGGAGGAGCTTGGGGAGAGATTCGAAGAAAGCCTATAGGTGGAAGACATGAAGAAAGTCTTCAGAACATTTGGCGTATCTTAAATAACTTCTGGCTTGTTGAAATCCTGTATTCTCGACCACCATCCATATGATTGGTGAAGATAGGATAAACCTTTCATTCATCATGTTGGATAAAGCTGAAATTGGCGACTCTTGATTAGTAGTAGGAAATGGTTCTATGATATCAATATTCTTTTCACAATCAGGAAATGGGCATGTATTTGGCATGGTCAGCAGAAGCTTTTTCTCAATGCATATCCTGTGAAAAGTGTGGCCACAGCTAAGGATAGTAATTGCCTTCGAAGGTCGTGTTAAAATTTTATTATTACATTCTGAACATTGGTCTAGCTCTAGAATTTCCTTATCCACGACGATATCATCTTCGAGATTTTTCAAGATATTATAAGCAAGCTTCATGTGATTGTCAAGAGACAAGTTAACAGATTCTGAAGTTTTGCCTTTTTTTCTCAATGCATTGCTTTGTTTCGAAGTCGACATACTGGATACACTAGTTTTGTCAATTCTTTGTTATCCAGCCCTTTTTATATCACTTGTAAATTTCACAGAAGAAAACTTCCCTTTGGGATTAATTTTCACCAGCAATTATGCACTGCATTTCGTCATTCCGTTAATCCCTGCAAATCAATAAAATGACTTTATGATTAGCATAAACATCCCCAAACCCCATATGCGAAATAAGGATTGCCGGAAAAAATAATCCATACCCGAATATTGTTTTATTAATATGATAATAGCGTGGCCGGAGACATGACGCAAAAATAAATGCAAACCAAAGTCAGAAAAAAAATAATGCGAATATATATGCGATTCATACGCTGCACAGCCTCTATTTATATCATACTGCTGCGCATTTCAGTTGATCGATTCCACATGACCGCTTATGCTACTTTTCTTAATTTTAGTGAGCTCAGTATTATACCGTCACAATTTGTGACGGAGTTTAGGAAACACGTAATTTTCTGTTTTTTAAAGGTATATAGCACAATATTTATATTATCCTTAGCTAGATAACAGCATATAGAAAACTGTTCCCTCAGGGAACTATCAGTCATGTGATTTTTTTTTGGCGTTTTTTTCAGAATTGCTTTGGGATTATTATTTGTAGTAACTTATATTTTTTAACATGCATATATATGATATGGTTTTACCGATATGTAATTTGTATCATATATTAATACACAATCACTTTCTAAACATTGGGAAAATGTAAAAAATGTAAGCCCAATTAGGCGAACTAATGCTTTATTATAACTTTATTCTAATTATTGAAAATGTTGTATTAATACTTAACGGCCTCATTTCTTATTAATAAATTTATTAACATTATATTAACTGCCATTTATCAACTAAAGACTATTTCTGTTTGAAGACAAGAGGTAAAAAAGTTTTGATCGCATCCTCTCTTTCTAAATCTGTCTTTTCATCAAACTTACTCTATTGGGTATCAAGTGGCTAAGGACGAGTGAAAAGTATTTTAGACAGTCTTTTGCTAATTTCATCATCACAATATTTGAAAGATCTGACGCCTTGAATATGAATAATTTGATCATAATCGTTCTTTTCATCTTTCTTATCTTCATTATTTTTATTTTTTGATCGCGTTTGTGGAATATTTCTACTCTTTAATTCTGCTTTTGGTTCAACCGCTTTCTCTCTATCTAAGCCAAGATCGATGTAGATGTCTAGAATCTTATAATCCTTCTTCCATTCACTAAAGGAATTTAATGGATGTATTAAAGAAGAAATATCCTTAGCACCAAAGGTTGTTTTTTTCGCGTTCTTGTTTTGAATTGAAATAATATCATAGCCGATATTATACTTGAAGGGAATGATATGATCAATAACATGAAAACCTAATGACATTTTGAAAGCAGTGTGGCGGTGATAAGCTTCTATGACAAGATTCTCTGATAGAAATTTCATCCCCCTGGATTTCACATAATCTTGATTGGTAGCTAACAAAGATATCTAATGGTTAAAACCAATTTCTGCCTCATTAATACCCATTCTTTTAAGCAACTCATCAAGACCATCTATTTCTTCGCATAATAAGGACTTTAAAAATGATTTTAGAGGAACTTTTTGCAAATATGTTAATGGTGAACTAGAGAAACATTCCTTCACAGCATCTGCATAAGCTTTTGAAAATAAGATTCGATTGACAAGTTCTCCTCTTTCTCCCGCTTTCACAACCCCATGACTAAACAGTTCCAATAGTGTATCTAAGCAATTTTTCCAACCAACATCAATAATACCTTTAAGTGCTCCAAATGCAAGGATAGTATCAGAAGGATATGTACAAAGAATACTTGTACGATCAAGTGAGACTCCTATTGCAGTTGCTATATAGGATGCTATCAGGCTGTCTACTTCGGCAATTTGAGAGGAAACCTCAAGAGATAGAGAGCAAGCTATACATGCAAGGTTCGCAAGATAATCATTATTCTTCTTACTAAAATTGCAGATTTTTTGTGAAGCTAGGTGAACAAGGTGTATAAGACTAACTCCAGCTTGAGCAAGAGAACCCCAAAGTGGAATTCCTAGATAAACAACCCTCTTATAATCATATTCTTTACCAACATTTTCAGCAAGCGGTGCTAATATACATCCATGGTGTTGACATCTAAATACGCAGGAAATATAATGAAATTATGTGATCTGGCAGAGCTAGTGTCTTTTGTCACTAGAGGGAGGAAATTGCCAACCTTTCTATTTATACTGAGAAGGATATTAAAGAATCCAGCCCATGAAATTTCTTGAATTTGTCGTCTCTATTGAACAAAATAGGTTTCATCATCCTTTGTCTTTGTAAGTAATTCATGCGCCTCATCAATACAACAAACTATAGAGATTTCTGTATCGGGAAATAATTTCTTCACAAAATTTTCGTTATTATAGTCTGATGAAAGTTTTTTTTGTTGTAATAATGATTCAAAGACACTTTGCCAGAAATCATTACGCTCAGTTTTATGATCATCTTTAATTTGAATATTCCAAAACTCCTCTGCGCTCCAGTTTTTATTCTTAATTTCTTTGATTGCTATAGATAAGAGGGCCCCAATTTATAGTCCCGAATTGTTTCCAGAATTTTTTGAACGTAAGGTGTTGATACAAGATAACCAGAACTACTCTCATGTCTTTTACAAATATACAGGATATAGGTTCCCTTGGTTTTCAGCTCCCCCACAAGCCGTGTTTTACCAGAACCAGAGCTTTGTATAATTGCTAAGTAAGGGTGTATGGTTTTATCTGCTGGTACTATTCATCATGAAATTGTTTTAGTCGCGAATAGAAAGTTTCTAAGATTGTGCCTTGGTATTCAACTTGAAATGCTTCTTCAATATGATTTGGTTCAACATGACTCGCATCTGTAAAAAAATATAAGATGGGCACTGATTAACTAGTTGCTTAATAATGCATCAAAGTTTCTACTATACATTCTTACCTTCTTCTTTCTCATCACTTGAAGAGCTTTCATCATCTAATGATGACAAATGAGGAAAATGTTAGAAATCAGTGTGTATGTATGCATACCATTTTCTGTGGCTATAATATCATATACATTATATTCTGTATTGTGTACTTCAGTGACGAGTTTATTGTCCTCCAAGGTCTCACTTCCACTGCGAATAATGACATTTTCTGATATATTAAGCTAAGCTTTGATCGTCCTTTTCAGATCATTCACATCAGATACTCTCATTATTTTCAAGACACTTTCTGGTAAAGAGACACATTCATCATTATAACGGACCTATATTTGCTTATCTTTTTTTGCGGTTAGATGGAATGTGAGTAAAGAGTATTCAGGTATTTCATAATAAAATTCTTGTATAGCCAAAACAATCAATTACCTTGAAGTTGGAGTCCTGCTATGCCGGACGTTAAACTTGCTATTCCTTATATAACGAAAGAGAAAACGACAGCAAAAAAATCAGTATATATTGGAGTTCACTAGTTCTATTATGACTCACTTACCACTAGTACCAGGTTGCTCTACGATAACGTGAATGTTTTTTGGACAGGTTTGACGATAAGAAGCAGGAAAGAAAGCACAAAAATAAGTAAATATTCAGTATTATTGGCGAATATGGTAGACAGAACGAGATCAAGCACATTATTTTATATTTCAATTAAAATTCTGTGAAAGAACATACCAGGCGTAGAGATTAGAGATCTCAAGAATACAAGCTTCGCTTCATTTATTGTGTAATCAGGAAGGAAAGTCAGCGCATCATTTTGTCGTTTTTCATTTCCAATAAAATATTTTCTTAAAACATCTTTTTCCTCTTCAGTGAAACCAAGTCATTAATTAGTATTCTGAGAGTTTGTATTGCAGATATTTTTTCGGTTCGGATAAGTTCAGAAAGAGAAAGGATTTGCAAAAACTGAAAAAAAAACCTGAGATAGGTAGCATAGCGGTCACAGGATATGTCACTTGAATTGTAAAAACTCAAAAAATGTGATACTGTAAAATTTCTTAATCCAAAGTTACACAAGATTTTGTCACTTAATTTTGCGGGAATTGCTTTAATTAAGAGATCGGCACACTACATTTTCACAATTTTTATATATAAAAAAGCTAATTCATCACTTTCGCTTATATGCTAACACCAAAATCTAATTGTTGTAACTTCTTGCTATTTTAATATAAGTATAACCAGGACCTCTTCTTTTTTAAAGTCTATTTATTAATATTATATAATAATAATAGTTTTAAAGAATCTTCCATCGAAAATTTTAAAATAGAATCATGTGACGCAGTAATTTTTAACAGTTTCTTCATATAAAACTCAAAATCAGAATTTTTAATCTATATTTTATCTCTAAGTAAAATTATAGCGCCGATAAAATTACGTATAATTATTAAATTTTAGAGTTATATACTTAACGGATAAAGTTTATGATTAACTTTCGTGTTCAATTTTGATATTTTTAACAATTTTTTTATATGAAAACTCAAAATCGGCATTTTTAATCTATATTTTACCTCTATGTAAAGTTGTAACGCCGATTAAATCACATATAAATCTAATTTCAAAAGAAGTTTTTTTTTAAAAGACTGTACTTTATTGACTTAGTATGAAAATTCTTTAATGTTAAATAAATGACAAAATGTTCATATAATGATAATTTTGATATTTCTATATAAATTTTTTTTTAACTCGAAACTAATGCTAAAAATACATATAATGATAACAATAAAAAAATTTAGTGTTAAGGTTGAGTTAAAAATCAGAAATGTCAATATCATGTCCGCTTATGATGATTATTCTAATATATTTTAACACGTTATATATCCAAATCATTGCTAAAATCTTGAAGTTGCCTCAAAACTTCAACAGCCATATCTTCAGAAAACAAGTCAAAATTAAATAAATTTTCTAGTATCTTTTTTTCATTATTTGTAGTACGTTTGCATTGACGTTTATATTCAGCCAAATCTTCTTGTTGCTGTATTATGTTATCTTCAACCTGATCGTTTGTCAAGATATTATTTATTTGCTGTTTATGTATTTCTTTGCTTTGATTTTCTGATAACTTATGCACTACTATATCATGTTTACGATAACCTTTTGTATTCTGAGAATCAATTTTATAAACATCCTGATGTTGAATGGCAATGAGTCAGGATATATCAAGATTATAGCACGTAAATATTTTTGAAAACCCTATTGAAGTTATTTCTTATGCATTTAAAAAAAGTTCATGCATTTTTGATCTACTAAAGAAAAAGCAGAGAGCAACTCATTAGCTAACTGCCATAATATATCCTTTCGTGATTGTGTTGCTCATTCTTCTCTAGTTGCAACTGTATCCCTTATATATTCTGACATTAATAAATCTAATCTCTCTCGTTCTGTCTGTACGGAGCTTATTTGCAACTTTAATTCTTCATTATCCATTATTTTCCTTCTAATATTTTGTTTTACAAACTTAACACCAAATCTTTCTAACGCTTCATCAAATACAAAGTAATGTCCAGGATGAGTGAGATTCACAAAACAAATATATTTAAGCAATTCTTAAAGATGTGGATCATCTTCAATATATGTCAAAAAATATGTTACTGACCTAGCATAATTACCCTTTCCAGCAACTGAAAATAATGGTGAAAATGCCGTGAGATTTCTTATTTGCATTTCATAATTTCCCTGTCGAATACTAAGTTTGTGTCCTATCTAATAGCCAGCCCAACATAAATAACAATACCAAACTTTGAGAATATTATTATTTTTACTTTCAATATCACTTATTGTTTGGTTTTTATTATGTAAATATTTAAATATTGCGATTCTAACAGCGACCCAAATCAATTTCAAAACTCGACAGGTAGCCTGGTAGTCTATGACTTTTTCTAGTTTATCTAAAAATCAGACTTCAAATTTTGCAGCTATATTGGCAATACCATAACCTGAAAAAATATTTATCAATGTAATGCATATATCACGAGAAGTGTGCCACTGGTCTAGAAGAGGTCTTACATTCTTATCATTATTGTTTTCTTTGTACAAAATCAACTGACGAAAAATTGCTTCGTCACATGCAATATCTAGATAACTGGTATTAGTTATTCCTACATCATCATAATACAAATCGCATGCATTATGAATGTTCATATTGCAATTCAAATTGTCACCTGGTTTAAGTATAACAACATTCGGATGTGATATATTACATTCCATTGGTATTTTTTGAGCAATGTCTTTAAGAATACTATCTGCATCCCAATTATCTATGCGTGTAGTTAGAAAATTTTGAAACATTTCCTTATAAAGAGAAAGAAGATTATTTGTAAAAACAGAAGTGCCAAATATAGATCAGTCATTACTAGAATCTCTGGTATCTATAGGATTATAACATTGAAGTTGCATGGGCATAGTAAATTGAAACACCATCCTTAATGTAGCATATATGCTTCTACGTATGGCATCAAAGATATTTCCATATGCATAAGTTCATTCTATAAAATCTATATTATCAATTACTAATACATTCCATATGTTAGTACTCTGTAACAGTCTACTTTCTGGTTTTACATCTTGTTGACGGGCCTTTTCTAACAATCTTTCATATCGATGCATATGGGATACTATATTTACTATGTAAAGAATATTGTAAAGGAAGTGATGTAATTTTAGATTTCGGCAAAACAAACTCATAATATGAGTTAGCCAAATTTTAGTAGCCAGAAATGCTATATTTAATACCATTAAAATAAGAAATGCAGTTATTTTGTTCACACAGCTTGTATCAAAATTCTTTAATGGAAGGCCTCTTTGCTTTCTTTTTCTAATTAATATCTTGTATTTTTTTCTTTGTAACATTTCAATAAATCCATTAAAAAAGTTTGTCAGATATGAAGGAAAACCATTTCTGATATTCCATTAGTGATGTTGGATTTTCAAGTTTGATTTTATTTTTTTGTACATCATGTCGTACTTTTCATGTTATAATTCCTAATATTTTGCCAAAGTCTGTGGCTGTTTCAGAGGTGAGTTCATATTTTTGATTCATAATTTTTGTTATGTTAATGTGCCCTAGTCTCAAAGCAATTTTTACAAAAAGAAGGCTAGGATAATCTGCCACTATTGAAGAAGACTTGGTATTATAAAATGTTAAAAGCATGTTAGTCAAACATACTAAGAGATTGTTTTTATTATTCTCGTCAGTGAATTCTGCCATAGATAAGACCCAGCGACCTATAATTCGAAGTGCTTTACTTGTATCATCCTTATGCATATCTATACATTCAAAATTTGGCATATTTCCACAGCCTCTTCGCTCATAAAAATGCCTACTATGTGTAACAAAACACTTTGAACATATATATCTAGGTCAATATTTTGCTGGATCATTGTTATCGTTAATCTATCTCCTATTTAAATATAGGGCAAACCTTAAGTCTGACACAAGGAATTTGCACATATTTTCTAAAAACATGTCTCGAATGCTGTATACAAATCTTATCCTGACTAAAAAAATGTTTATATTTATTACAAAATAAGCAATGCCGGCAAAAAATCCAACTTTTTTCAATTGAACGTGTCTTTTTGGTATTTGAAAAATAAAGCTGATTTTGATTATAAAGGAAGTAGGAATGACATACACCTATTGTTGACAAATCGTTTTTTGTTTAAGCTTTTTGAAAAATCTCTGGATTGATCTTCCAAGCTTCAATTAGTTGGAAAAGTGGCCTCTGTCTTTCTGAATAGCTTGAGCAGCATTGAATGGAACCATTATTAATGTTCAAAATTGGACATTCCGATAAAGATTCACTAGCGTTTATTATGTTTATAACAAAATATTCATTTCCATCAGTTGATCCCGATATAGTCGACTCTAAATCAAATATTGAAATTGTTGATATATTAACATCTACTTTGGTATCAGTATCAATATCTTTTAATAAAAATATATCATTATTTTCGTCCTCTTCTATAAGTGTTCTTGCTCTTTTAAAATTAGCATTATTAAAAAGAAAGGGCATTTCTATATCATAATTTAATGCACTATTATTGCTTCCAATGCTTCCTATAACACTCTCTGACGTAAGACTTTCAGCAAAGGCTATACTCTCCAAATTATCATAATTGTTAGAAATATAATCGAAATTATCAAAAATGTCTTGCAAGTTTGTATCAGACATAGCAAAAGAAGCGAATTTTGTACGATGAGATGACTAACGCTAAGTAAATATCA